AAAATAAAAATTAAAGAAAAAATATTGGCAATTATAAAAAAATTAATTATATAATCAAATATTTCTAATCATAATCTAATATTTGTTCGATAATGTATATTTAATTTGTAAATAAAATTAATCATTCAATTTTCACTTTGATATTCTTAAAACAAAACTATTCTATTTTAATATATACATAACATAACAAATCTTGCACATTCATTTTTACAATATTAGAGCACATTTTTGAATGCGTACTTTCAAGTAAAAAAATAAATATAAAAAACATAAATATGAGTTTTATTTTAAAATAAATAATTCGGCCAGTTTCTTTGATCTATTTTATAGATCAAGTTAATTGATTCGAGCTCGAACAAAATATTTAAAATGATGAAAAATCAAATTATAAGCCGAAAAATACCATAATTCTTCGGAAAAGAATGATATATTCTTTTACATTATTATTACGATTCTGAACTAATGTAAAGATTTATTGTTTGCATGAATCTTTTATTCATTTTCAAATCTCTCATTTTATAACATCAAATAAAAAAAAGGAAAATGAATTACTTTATTATAATATAAAACAATTATTTGTTATACGAATCAAAATTATATATAATACTGTAAATAGAAAGAAATAACCCAACCTGGGTTATTTTACATGTGCACATTAATGGAATAGATAAAAGTATCAAACATTATTTATACTGATATAATGTATTTATACTGATATAAATGTAAAGAATTCTGATAATATGTTTTACGCAGACGCACAAAAATTAATTTAATTATAATAACATATGCTAGTTAGAATTCTTGTGAGAAAATAGTCGCGCATAATACGTTTTATAATATAGCTATGGAGAAAGATGCATGAATGGATAAAAGAAAAGAATAAACAAAATGTAAAGAAAAATACAAAAAAAATAAGAATAGTATGTAATGCTATAAGAGAGTGTGATATTTTAGTAGAACAATAGATTACAAAAAATATAAAATTCTTATTTACATCTTGTCTTTCTTCTTCCTTCATTCGTTATTATTGTCCCATTATCTTTTACCTTTTTCTTTTCCTTTTCTTTCTTTTCTTTCTTCTTCTTTTTATACTCAAATTTGTTATCCTTAAACAGTTAATTGGTTTATGCTATAATATATTATGAAAAGTATATAGAAAATATATATATAATGTGTCTGATATATATATCTGATATAAACAGCATAGTATCTTGAAAAATATGAAAAAATGTTTCATCGAAAAATTATATGGTATTGAAAGACAAATATTATGATAATAAGTTAATCTTGCGATAACTTTGAATTGTTTTGTGAAGATTGAATTTTTAAATGAAATTATTTATTTTAGTATATTTCATTTTTAAATGAAATTATATTTTTTAGTACATATCTTTGTGACATATTGAGACATTTTCAAAATATTACTTACGCATTTTTTTTTCTTTTTATTGAATCATTAATTTTATGCTATCATAAATTTATGCCATCGGTATTAACTTTTCCCGATGTACACTGCAAAAAAATTATTTAGTCAGATTTTGTATATTATTGTAATTTTAAAAAGAATCAATTTTATATGTGCGCGCGCGTATATGTGTATATAACATGCGCGCGGTAAAAGAGAAACTATCCTTCGACATATTTTTCATTATTGAAAATATATTTCTCTAATCTGCATTGAAATTATTTTTTTTTTAATCTTTTTAATATATATATAGCTATAATTTTTTATGTGTAGTTATTATTTGATGTAATACAATAAATTTCGATTGAATTTTCAACTAGTGAAAAAATTTTATTTTATGTATGAAACAAGAAATTATGACTAAAAATCTGGTGATTTTGTTCACAATATTGGATTGCCATATTCAATAGACTATGACAACATAAATATAAACTTTGAAAATGAATAATTCAATAATGGCTTTAGAAAAATATATGCGTAAGCAATATGAAAACATCCGTTTTGAAAACATCTCAATAAAAATAAATTAGAATATAATAATAAAATAATAGAAGAATATAATAAAGAATATACATTTTTATTTAAATTTTTAAATATGACTTTCATAAAACAATTCAAAATTATTCCAAAATTAAACATTTATTATTATATGCCATATAAATTTCATATGAAACATTTTTTTGTATTAATCATATTTTTCAAGATATTTTGCTGTTTACAGATAAACCGGACAGACTGTATATATGAAGAATACGAAGGAAGTGCACCATACTTGTATTATGCAGATCATTTCGCGATGTGGACTATTCATTGCGAATCATTTTAGAATTTATATGGTAAGTACATATAAGTAAGATCCCAGTTACATACGAGCAATATATTGTTATTTTATATATCATCTGCTGATATATTATGAATATTTATTCATCATTAATTGTTTATAGGAACAGTTCTTTATATTGCATTGGGAACAGAACGGCAACTCATTCTATAAATATGCGTATAATAATAAAAATATTAAGTAACTGTAAATTTAAAAATGTACGCGAAAGCATACTTCTTTCGTTGTTTTTTTACATCTACAACTATCATTTGAAATATCTCATTTAATTTTGATAATTTAAAATAATAATAATATAATAAAAAAATATTTTCAATAAAAATTAATAAAAATTGAAGTTAATTTTATTATGGCTAATCGATATAACTCCTTATTTCTTATAAAAAAAAAGATTTACATAGAAAAATTATTTTAGAAAATATTTCAAATTAAATTTATAAAAAATATTATATGAAAAATAAAAAATACTTATCTATTCATACTTTTTTTTTCTTTTGTATATTAAATTAAACGTACGAAATTCAAATTAAAATATCTTTTAAATAAAAATATCTTTTAATGATTTCCGATATAAATAATTTAATACTTCTTTGTAATAAATAATAAATTGCTTTGATTAATGTATTAAAAATTATATAATTTCATTTAAAAATGAAAATTATCTTTTTATAAATCAATATAAGTTATTTTTTTCTATGAAAAACTAATTATTTATGAAAAACTATAAAAAATTAATTATAGTAGAATTTGAATCTTAAAATCATTTAACTGTCATCTGAAATTTTTTTTAATTTTATTAAAAATAAAAAATATTCTAGATGATAAAAAGGAAAAGAAAACTAATAATTTTTATTTCTGAATAATCATTATTAAATTCGTCGTAATAATAAAATAAATCCTGTTTCATATGAAAAGCAGCTTCTTATTCTTATTATTTAAAAATAATATTTCTTATTCTTAAAATTGACAATCATATAAATGCATATAAATAAATATCAAAATTATAAAAGCATAATTTCTTATAATCAATTCATTATATTCAAAGACAATCAAATTCAATTGAATGAATTAAAGAAATCAGTCATTAAATCATATTTTTCTTTTCTGAAAATTAAGCTCGTGAAAAAAACATTGCATTAGAAAAACACATAGAATATGCTAGAGATTTATGCATACATAAATCAATAATTATATAATTTTCTCAAATAATATACTATCAATGAATAAATAGATCATCATGAAACATGATAATAATAATAAATATATAGACATCATTAGAAATGAAAAAAAATCATGGGTTTATTCATATTTTTTTGATTTTTACGATCTGATTTATACGAATTAGATTTTAATTAATGAAATGAAATATTATTGTCCTATAATAATTTTTTCTTTCGTTTCTTATTTATTATTGAAATCTAATATTATATATTTAATTCTCTATTTAAATTTAATTTTTTGAAGATTGAAACTTGTTCTGTTTTGTATTTATTATATTATATTATATTATATTATATTATTTATTATACAAATATTTAATTGATTCTAATCTTGAATAATTTTTATATAAGATCCAATTCATTCAAGAAAATTATCCAGATATCAAAACCAAATCATTGAAGGAAATTATATCTCATAATCAAATTATCTTTGGATTTCTCATTTTAACCGCATTGAAAATTTTATTGCTTTGCATAAATATACTAAAAAGAAAAAAAAAAAAAAGATCATTCGAGTTTAATTTTTATTTCAATCATTGAAAGATTAGAATTATTGTTAAAAAATTTCGCATTTTAAATTTATTTTAAATACAAAATATTAGTTTCTATCCATTCGAGAGATTATATAGTAATAAAATTGATTTATTACAAATAATTCTATTTTAAACGATCTATTTTAAACGATATTTTAAAAGAAAAATTCACATATCAATGAAAGTTTATGTTTGTCACTATGAATTCACAAAATTCTAAAAGTTTTTTATTAGTTTGAAGTTACATAAAAGTTAAACAAAGGTTAAAAATTCAAACAATTTTTATAATTTAATAATTCGAATAATTCAACATGTTTTCTTAATCCCGATTATTCAATGATTTGAATAATACAAAAGTTTTGATTTTTTTAATTTTATAAACTTTTGCACTCTAAAACTATATATAAAATCCCTTCTATATTCATCTCGCAAAATTATAATTCCTCAATGGGACATATACAGTTTGTTTTCTATTTTATTAGATTCGATATGTAGAAATGAATAATGTTTTCTTAAGAAAAAATCCTAGAAATAATAACTTGGATATCCATAGAATTTGCTTTTCCCAAAAAAAATGAAAATCCACGAATGTTTATAATAAATTTTCTTGAATAAAAAGCTGATTGCTATTAAAATTGTCATAGCTGAAAAATATCGTCTCAGACCACGTTTATACTTCAACTATGCCGAAATTTTCTTAAGAAATATATAATTCCAAAGATCCTTTAGATCCTTTTTTAAAAAACGACATTGTCTTCTCTATACCATCTTATTATATAATTTACCTTTAATTAATATGATTAATTTCTTTCTTTTATCTTAATTCCTTAAAAAAAAAGAATTTTGTAATTTATTTGATGGGAATATTACTTTGTAACAATAGGATATTTAAAAAATCTTACTTTTTTATATTCTTTTTTCATTATAATATTTTTTAATATTACTTTTTTAAAAAATTTATTAATATTGAAATTATTATATAATATTATATTTTAACATAATATATTTATGATTAATTTATAATTATTATAAATGTGTGTATATAATATTAGTTAATTAATATTGATTAATTATTTAATAATTAATAATTAATTGATGAAATTATTATTTAATCAGATTTCTGTATTATTAATTGGAAATATATTCTTATAGTTATATAGTTTATTATATAGTAGTGTATTATATAGTTTATTTAGATTATTTTTTAATTATAATATTAAAGTATTTGCCAATTTTTGATTGAAATATCTGTAGAATTTTAGTATTGAATAAATTAGCACATATTCATAAACTCAATTCCATATGTTCAAATTGATACCATTTTGTTTGTATAATAATAGTAATGTAGTATTAATAGTAATGTAGTAATGTAGTAATGTAGTAATGTAGTAATGTAGTAATAATAGTAATGTAGTATTAATAACAATAACAATAACAATAACAATAACAATAACGATAACGATAACGATAACGATAACGATAACGATAACGATAACGATAACGATAACGATA